GAAATAGCGTGTGTATTCAGTTAGTGATGGTCGCCATCTTGGATTGTGTAAAGTACAAACCGGAAAGGGGAATGAAATTCCGGATTTGTCGTTTTTAATGAAGAAGAGCTCAAATAAAAATGCTGTTTTAATCTTTGATCACATTTACTGACAGCAGTATTTAATATAGTTTTAGAGGAAATAAAAACACTGTACATTTTATTAAAACATTTTCTCTTACAATAATAAGAACTATGATATAAACTTGTTCATGTAAGTGTTTCCCCCTATAGCTTTTAAATATTTCTTCTTTAAATTATTTTTAATGGGGATTAAGTAAGGGATACAAATGTAAAGATAAGAGACAAATGTCACAAATGTCATATCTATTATTCAATGTACAAAACTCATCCACCTTTCCATAAATTGTATTTTTTTTTCAGAATATATTGCTGAAAATTCAGATATAAGAAACACTTATTTATTTCCTTGGTTTTAATGTTCACCAAAAGAAGTTTGGTAAATAAAAGTAACTTTTTAAACATTATATTACACCCCCCACCCCCCTTAGGTTTGATAAGGTATTATAAGGTATTATATTAGCGTGTCCGTCTTGAATGTTCGTTGCAAATGAAACATATCAGCTTAAACAAATTCTGGGGAGAACCCTGACAATATGTAATAAATAATCTTCATTATATACAATATGTAATAAATAATTTACGCTTTATACAAATTACAAATGAATGATCTTCATTATATACAACATGTAATATGAAATAAGTAATTAACATTATAAACAACATGTTATAATTTGTCCACCTTTGTCCACTATTTGTCCATATTTGTCCACCTTTGTCCACTATTTGTCCACCTTTGTCCACATTGTGGCGACTATTTGTTCATATTTGTCCACTATTTGTCCAAATAGAACGAAATAAAAACAGATAATATTAACAGTATATGATTTTGTTTGTCTAAATTGGGAAACCGATTTTCCGTTATAATTTCCGTTATAATTTTCGCAGATTTTCACGTAACACTGAGCTACATCTACATCTTAAGCTGATACGGGATGTGCCGTTGCTCAGTGTAGTGTATACACACCTTTATGGATAACTGTTAACCAGTAACAAAGAGTTTTGGCATTTACCAGCTAAAATGTTTTTTCTTTTAAAATTAATGTTAACAATTAGTCAATTCAAACTTAGGGAATAATTATGAAATGTCGATGTACACAGTGTGGTTCAGTCTGTTACTCAAGCATTTGCTAAATAATGACAGTACTTTAATTCTATAATACGTGACTCTTCCGTCGCGAAACATGTAACATACTATGCCTAAGTAATCGAGTTCATTGTTAACAGTTAATATCATATTGTTCCAATGTGGGTTTACACACACACTGTCTTACGAAAACGCTATTTCCTGTAACATTTAATCAAGTAGCTCAACATGTTAGTTCATTGTTCAAACTTCTTCAACACACTGGATAGTTGGTAGTATTCCTAGAATGTCATGCATATTCCATGTTTGATAGGTATGACATTGTCGCTGCTGTGACTTCCGTAACATTTTCTGATGTCTACACATACGTAGGGTCTGCTTACCGAAACTTACCGAAACATAGATATTGTCACCAGGGTGACTAAACATATATTAACGGTGTATTGACAGACGATGCTAGTACCTGTGATCATACAAGGATTGAACATAGTAATATTGCTTTGAGTTTTATATTCTATGGACGAGGCATTTGCTGTTTCCTATAAGCATTTATATTAGACATGATTTGAAAGTAGGTCCACGCATAAACTCCCCTCGGGTCGGAGGTGGTAGAAGGCCTATATTTTGACCTGGTGAGGACAAAGCATCACAAAGCATCACGAAGCGTTCACTTATATGCTCTCTGTACCCCTGGAATATGTCAAAGCAAAATTGAAGGCACGCGGTTAGCAATTTGATCGGTCTCAGGTAGAAAAAAAATCTGACCAATCGATACCTGGGCATTTGAAGATTACAAATTTCAAGTTTATTGGTTTCCTCAGATACCTTACAATGTACAAAATGGAGTACAGAGATGCGTCACCCAACTACAAAGCCAGTCAATTTTACCGTTACGAGACCGGGCAATTCTTTAATGTGCGTCACCTTGTAGATGAGATAAGAAGACTAGTTTGATACTTTGATGTACATTTTCACGTAACACTGAGTGAGGTCTACATCTTCAGCTGAAGTGTATGTAACGCGTTTATATATAACTAGTACTAAAAAGAGTTTGGTATTTTCCTACTAAAACGTTTGTTTTCTTTTTCTTTTAAATCAATGCTAACAATCAGTCAAATCAAACTTAGGGAATAACTTATGAAATTTGTTGATGTACACAGCATCGTATGTTGTATATCGTTGCTAAAATCTGATTGGTCGATGCATATATCTGCTCAAATCTGATTGGTCGAAATATGATTGGTCGTTGAATTTAGCTGCTCAAATCTAATTGGTCAAACTCCGATTGGTCTTTCCACAGCCTTTCTAATTCGGCTTCCATGTTACTGTTAATGGCGGTTTTTGTAAGGTCGACGAAGCATTGGTGAGAAAGCCCTGGAGAGAATACGTGAAATCAGAAGCAAAAGGCTGAAACAGGGGAGATAATTTCGTAGGTAATGCGAAATTGATGACGTCACACGCAATACGAAAACTACAACCCTCCTCCACATCATTTCATACATGTTTGTGTATTGCGTGTGACGTCATCAATTTCGCATTACCTGCGAAATTATCTCCCCTGTTTCAGCCTTTTGCTTCTGGACTGTCAACTTCTCTGTGATGAAAGACATTGTATTGTCGGACCGCGGTAGAGTGACAGATGATATGTAACTGAACACATTTACCTAGTTGCTATTTCTATCGATATATCCTTGATATTTCTGAAGCGACATGGATGTGGACTGTATCAATATTACCTGTGAGGCTGTGTAGTACGGACATCCAAAAGCTACATATTCACTCTTTCTTATATATTATGTTCGCAATGCAGAAAATTGAAATGACTGATACTCATGGAAATATCATTCGTTTTAAACCTTACAATGGTTTGAAATTTCACCCAAGGATTCCAGGCAACGTGGACAAGAAGAAAGAATGTTTCTTCATTAATCCTGCGATCAGGCAATGTGTTGTTGTGCACCTATCCTAAATCAGGTAAATATTCCATTTGTTTCTATATCCTTATCCACATGTAGAGTTAATGATGTTTTAAAGTGATATTTTCATCCATAAAGATCAATGATAATTAATACCATTTTTCATCGTCTTCAATCTGTACTTCTTTGCTTCTGAAACCTCAGCAGTAGCAGTTAAATGGAAGTGTCACTATAAAACTATAGTCTGGCAGGTGCTCTGTTGCTTCACGAGTTCATGTTTGCGACATATGATAAAAACAGCACTCTGAAACATCCATTTTCTAGATATTCTTAGTAAATAGCAATGAAATGAATACTGACTGAGTCATAATATTATAACTATGAAAGCATGACTGAAACAACAGTCACTGTGCATTATATGATAAAACATCACTTTCGTGGTGAAATAACTGTCGTGGTGCATTTCTGTTTGCATGCCATATATAACAATATTCCGTATTTCACATTGCTAAACGTTACATAACCTGAAGACTAAAACCTTAGCGGAGGATGAACACATGTGTATAATATTTCCAATTCGCTGATTAACGATACATTTATATATGAAAGCATAGTAAACGAGCAATAAAAATTATGTTAGACAAATACAGTGATAATGACAGCTGTGCTTTACAATGAAGTAATTCAATTATTTTCCTTCTGTTTGTGCCCGAAGAACCTTGAAATGCAAAAGTTAAATAAATGCAATCAAACAATTAGACGCATTAACAATGTCTAAATTAGAAGAAGAAAATATGATTTCTAACGCTTGAACCTTCCATATCTAAATTGATATATTTGAAATAAAATTCATCCGTAGGTATAAGAAGACTCATTGTTGAAATATATTTAAAAACTGAGAATATGTAAAATTGAATTTATTGCTGCAACTACAGGGAAATTTTCTTGAAATTATGTTATTTGCAGCAATGGAACATTTACAATAATTACAATATATGTTAAAACATCTGAGCCACATGTTTGATATTTAAATACGCTGTTTAGCATACTCTGAATATTACGAAATATGTGCTATAGCTAATGTCAAATCAAGTAATATTTGATAACACTATACTGTGGTCTTGAGTGCGCATGTCCTAAAATATACAACTGTTATACAACTGTTGTCTGTATATAAAACTCATGTGCCAATTTTCTTCTTTCACAAAATCTACCTTACAAAGGCTACAAAAGGACTTATTTGCAGCTTCAGATCTTTATTTATGTGCACTACCTGACATTACCTCTGTGCAAATCTGCAAAAAAAAAAAATATCAAAAATCATCAAAGAAATGGTACATTTTAAAAACTTAAGTAGTTGTCATTTCAAATATCTGTCAAAAGGTTCACATTTGAATTCATCAGAGTATTTGTCCATGTCTAATTTTAGATAGGAACTATAAAAGTGAAAATTACTTGGTGAAAGGATTTTTTGGTTTGCTAAATCCTACACCGGGTATTTTTAGATCGTTTATATGACTCTCGTCTATGCAATAAATGTAGAGAAAACGAAAAGAAACCGCCAAACGACTGCAGAAAAGTCTACATCATTTTAATGTTTATTATGCCATTATATTTAACAGGTCATTGCAACATCAACCACCATAAGGAGCGTCAGTTTAAAAGTATATATTCACTTCAATTCTTTGACGATAACTTGATTGTGTGACCTTGCCTTACTATGTAAACTCATTTTAATATAATGATGTTGTTGTCGTTTCAGAATCAGCTGGGCGTCAGATTGACAGAGCAGGTTCATTTAGCTAACCTTAATTGAATGGCTCACTTCTTTTCTATCGTGATATTGTTGTCGTTTCAGGAACACATTGGGTGTATAACATGATACAGATGATACGGTCAGAAACTCTACAGTGTAGTGGGACACCACACATGCTCGAATTCAACCCAACAAGCGAGATTGACCGGCTTGATTCACCCCGAACGATCAACACACATCTTACTTACCAATTAATCCCAGAAATGGCCAAACAGGGCAAAGTGAAGGTTGTGCATGTTCTGCATAATCCTGAAGACACCATAACACCCTTTTTTGAATTTTGGAAAACAGTTGAAGGAACGGTATACGAAGGAGATTTCAAGAAAATGTTGTACCAACATCAATATATTATACGGTTTTGAAAACTTTGGACACAGCTGGATCAAATGAACCCAGCATTGAAAAAATGAACCACCGCAGTAATCTGTAAAATTCATATCTATCTATTTATATTATATATAACATGTATATGGTAACAAGAGAAGCAAGAAATGAGAAGCCAAAAAATTAGGGGACACCCGGGTTCGAACCAGGGACCTCTCGATCTGCAGTCGAATGCTCTACCACTGAGCTATATCCCCTTCATAGCTTTTAAGGAAACAAAACAGGATATGATTATGATGCAATATGCCATCTAAGTATAATACTTGAAATGAAAATTAAAACTTTATTATCAGTCGAAGTGTCTGAAAATAATCAGTATAATTGATAAACTATTTATTAATTAAGCTATGTCATAGGTCATATCTGCATAGATTGATTGTTTGATTCGTCTTGATATCTATTTTAATTTAGTAAGTCCATCATTGGAATGATTGTGGATTTATAAGTACAGATTATGATAAAATTACTAGTATTTTGCCGGATCGATTTGTATTTATAGTGCTCATACACACACATAATGTGTCTGAGTATTGTTCAATAGGACTATACACATATCAACTTCTAGTATACAATACTTATAAATATTCACCCATACAAAATGCAGAATAAATAAAGTTAACCATTCAATACGTTGGAAATCGAACACAAGTCGTCTGCTGACGAGGCACATCGTAATCTATAAATACGCCTGACTGTGACGTCACAAATCGTACACCAGACGTATTCCTAGTGTATATAAATACAGCTGTGAACTAAGTGGATAGTGGACATACGGGACAGGATGGAGTGGACACAGAGGTATGTATGTCATACTGCTAAATGGAAATAATCAAAGCATGATACTTTTGATTGCTATACTTTAAAACGATATTCATTATTATATTTGTTGTATCACATTGGAACTCAATTGACAAATATAAACTGACTACTAGATTCTATGTATTATATGAAAGAAATGTCGATGTAACTTTCTTAATTACAAATTTCTGTTCTTCAAAAGAAGAACTAATTTTAAGCTTCTTCTATTTTATCTCAAATCTACTTTTTCTCTTGGAATCTAGATTTATTTGCCATCATATACATTTTAAACATGATAGGATATATTTCATAAGTTTTGTGGTATTTCACAGGTTAAATTTATTTCGATTTTTTTGTCATTATTGTTTATTTATGTCATTATGAATGATTACATCCTTTCTTTTGGTGAGGTAAAAGTGATAAGATAGTAATCGTATCTTAATTTGAGAACCAGTCTAAATTACGGCTAACATTTCAGAAGTGTCCACCAGATGGGGCCCGTGGTCAGGACAAACGTTTGAACTCCTCGGATTCGTAAATAACCATACCCATTATAACAACGTATCAAAGGAAGAAAGTCATGATGTATTTGGGTTCAAAGGTCAACGGGAACCTCTTGTTTCTGTCAAAGTGTGTCCCGGCCTCTATACCGGCGGAGATGGGACATTCTTGACGGGGTTAACATGACTAAAGTGGCTTATGGTACGGGAAACGTGATGGATTACGATGCAGCGAAAACGAGAGTAAAGAAGAGACGAAGGAAAGAGGTGGATGAAATAGATAATGATGGGGAGGTTGAGGACGCAGACATTCACGATCCAGATAGATGACAGAATTGAATTTATTAGTGTATTACTTCGAAACTGTATTAACAGTTAATTTAAAATTAACGTATGTTTCAGTGACGTAATCCTACGATTACCAAGTGTTTTAACCTGTACAGTTATACAGGTTTCCAGTGATTATGTAGTTTGACCACCGGATATGTCTCGAAGGGCAAGTCAACTGTCTAAACCTACTGAAGATATGTTTCATCGATTTGAAGATAGGAAGTCTTGAAGATGAAGAATATGACATGTAGAGCCATTGAAAAACCAAAACTGTTTTAAATGTTGCTGTTTGAAATCAAAGTAACGAAACAGGTCCCGTATTAAATTTGAACCTCGGGAGAAAGAATGCTGACTCTTTCATCCATTCAAATATGAAATACAAAGAAATCAAAACTTTTCACATCAGCAAAGTACGTAACCTGTGTACTCGATGGAAAAATCGAACATATATGGAGAAAGAATAGAGACTGTATTATAAACTCAAACTAGTCAAACCAGAAAGACAAATAAACACTTCAAGTAAACTACCTACGTAACCTGTGTAATCGATGGAAAAATCGAACATATATGGAGAAAGAATAGAGACTGTATTATAAACTCAAACTAGTCAAACCAGAAAGACAAATAAACACTTCAAGTAAACTACCTACGTGACCTGTGTAATCGGTAGAAAATTCGAACATATATGGAGAAAGAATAGGTTTTGTAGCATGAATTCAATGTAAAAAGTCCAAACATTTCTCATCGACTATGAACATTACCTGTGTACTCGTTAGATAATGCTTCTCTCTGAAACAATAACCGAGACTTTATCATAATTTCAAACTGGAAAAACTACGTATGTAACCTGTGTACTCGGTAGAAAATTCGAATATCTGGAGAAAAAATGTGCGCTGAATGGATTCAAACGTAGAGAGTAAGGAAGTCCGAAAACTTCACATCGACTTTGAATAAAATGTGTAAACTTGGTAGAAAAGTTCGAATTATCAATTAAAACTGGAAAATCTAGAACGTCTCCCAAACACTCCACATCGACTACGTACTTAACTGTGAACTCTGGAAATTCTATCCTCTGAAGAATGAATAGGTACTGCATCGTCAATAAAAACAGAAAAAAACAAGTACACTCCAAATAAACTACTAAGTATACTGAATACTTATCGTTTCGTGAGCAAATAGGAATCCAAATGGAACATTATTGCATGAGGAAAATGTCCAGTCTGCCGGAATGTTGTCAGATCTGGATATGTTGGAGGTATTCTCTTCATATATAAATAGCCACTTATGTAATCCGGTTACAAAACTGGGTAAAAAATGCTTTATCAGAACAAATGTCTAAGTGAAATATTGTAAATAGTGTTTATAGTTTAATTTATAGTTTTTTTTATTGTTTCGTCAGTAAAATTGCATTGATGTTTTACGAAAACAACTGCAGCCGGTCGATATATCTTTATATCTGTCTTCGAGTTTGTATAAATATGACGTTATAATCTTTGGCGATTTTAACATTATTGTTTATAGATTTGTTTTATAGAAATATGATTTAAATTAAATATCTTCTGCACGCGTATCTGTAAATATTTTGTGTGAAATTAGTATCTTATCTATAATTAAATATTTGGTTTGTACATATAAATCATATCATGTAAAATTAGTAGAACAATCACAATATCTTCTGCACTCGTACCTGTAAATATTTTGTATGAAATTAGTATTTAATTTGCAGTAAATATTTTGGTTTTTACATATTAATAAGTTCATGTACAATAAGTAGAACACATATAATATCTTCTGCACTCGTTAGTGTAAATTAATTACTCTTTGAAATATATTATCATCTCGTGCATGTTTACAAATTACACAAATAAAAAAAAAATATATAAATTAACTATAATTTATCACTTCATTTTGTCACCCAACAGCGTTATGTCTGCAGTTTATTATATGTTCCTTGTTAACCTCATACACATATAGATGTTGTTTTTTTTTTCTTTTTATTATTTTTTCATTCAGTTAGTTTAAACTTTGATTTATTCACATAACATATGTAACACATAATACAAATATGATTAAACATAAATTAATTGGAGACAAAAAAAAAGTGTTAATGCAGTTGTCTATTGTACACATTATGAATTATACGTATTGGCCGTTCTAATACTTAATACTTTTTTGATAAAATATAAAATATAATGTATGTGAAGTTTGTGAAATACTTATTATACTGAATACTCACCTGCTCCTACATAAAATGTATGTTATGTATGTTATACCAATAAATACTAGCTGGCTCATGCGATAAAACATTTGTATCATTATTACACTGAATACTAGCTGGCTCATGCGATAAAACATTTGTATCATTATTACACTGAATACTAGCTGGCTCATGTGATAAAATGTACAATTATGTATGTGATGAATTGTGATTGAACTAGTTAATAACTACTCAAAAGTGTAAGGGATAAAACAAGTAAACATCCGATGGATATCAAAGTGACTGAGAGAAGTGTTGGAAGTACGGTGTTAATTCCAAGCGTCATTCTTTCATGATCAACAGAAAATAAAAAAGATTAACATAGTAAAACATATCCCGGGAAGGGTTTTTATATCATTCAATATAATCACTTTTCATATACCATTAATTTCCAAAGGTTTAATTAAAGGATCTCGATGAATCCATGTGCATTTTCCTGAGAAGTAGATGTTTCAGAGATTTTTTTTATAAAAAAGAGTTTTAATACTTGGGTTATCTTATGGAAGAATTTCATTACCGTAAAACGTAGTAATTATAATAAAACAGCTAAAGCTGTGCTGTAATCGATCAATTATGTTAACGTGCATTTAATTATCATATTTGTGTGCAAGGGAGATTACTCAAAATTTTCTTAGATTAATATTGTTCAATTAAAGAGGAATTCAGCAATCTTTATCTAGAGTTATCATTCGTTGTGCCAATTTTCACCTCTATCAACGGCTAAAAGACATGAATCTTGGTAATCCTGAATCTTGACTTTTTCAGTTTTTCTTTCTCCAGAAATAGTCTTATTTATATAATAATTAATCAATTCCATCTTTATTAAGAATAAGAGTTTAAAAATTCTTAAAATTAAAAATGTAAAATATCCCGTAAATTAAAGAAGTCTTTTCCAATGTAAAACATTAGTTTTTCCAAGAATGTACGTTTGGTAGAGATTGGGATTATCGATGATTAATAGAATCTTCCCCTACCTTGAAGGTGTGATAGAGAAATCTGCAACCCGAGGGGTGATGTTTTTTGGTTAGACAACCAAAAAAATCACCCCGAGGTTTGGAGATTTCTCTGTTACACCCTCAAGGTAGGAGATGATTATTTTTCTCCTATCCTATTATTTCAGTCAAAGCTCCACCGACAGTAGTCTGATTGTGTTTTTCCACAACAGGACAGCATTAAACTTATATATGATGTGACTACATATGGTGGAAGAATGACTAAATAGGTAAAACATTAGTTTTGCCAAGAATGTAAGTAGGTACTTAAAAAAAAATCTGGGTAAAGATTGGGATTATCGCTGATTCCTTAATATCAACGCTTAAAAAGCCTAAACAATAAAAGATATATTGTATGTGATAGGCTCAGCGTGTTTTAATACGACCAATCCTTCATCTCGATTTGACAGATTGAATGGGATCGCGAGTTGTTAAGAATTCCTTTTTTTCTTCTTTTCTTTTTGTTATTCCATTAACCGTGAAACTAGTCTACTTCAGTGTTTATAGGTCATCGATCTTTTCAAAATGCTGCTTTATTGTAATGCCTAATATTTAAAGATGCATGCATATACTAGGCAAGAATAAACGTGCCGTTTAAGACGCACCTTTTCTCAATTTATTAAGTAAACAAATAATGCCGAGTCAGTACGCTTCCAATTTCATTTGCATTTATTTAGAAAAATAAACATCAGCGAGGGTAAATACGTATAAGACTACAAAAAAAGTTACATGTGAAATAATTTGTCTAGTTTTAACTAAAATTTAAGAGAAAGAAAAGATAAGAATACAAAACTAATGAAAGATACCTTAATACGTCTAATATTAAAGAAGAAATTTATTTTAATGATTAATTACTATTATTTACATTACATTCGTGCTGTTTAATTCTAGCATTTTGAAATTTAATAGAATTCATAACCG